GACGACGACGACGACGACGAGGGAGGAGGAGGAAGGACGACCACGGCGACAACGACGACGGAAACGACCACGACGCCAAAGAGGACGACGACGACGAACACGAGGAAAGACACAGGAAGACGTAGAGGACGACTACTACGACGACGTGGGAGGAGGGAGGACGGCGACGACGACGACGACGACGACGACGACGCCGCAAGAGCGCGCGCGCACGCTTTTGTTGAAAATCCGTGTTGCGAAACCTTGCGGTTTTGTATTTTTTTTGGACGCGCAATTTTGAAATCCTTCCGAAACCGATGGGTTTTGAAGGATTTCGGCGTACGCGCGCGACGACGCGCGCGTCTGCACTTCGTCTCATTTTTTGCAGAGGATTCTCGCGACGGCACACGCGCAAGGGCGATCGACAGATTTCGACATGCGCGCGCGACGCCCGCTTGGCAGCATGTTGTGAAAATCTTGAAAAAAACACTGGTTTTCTTAAGATTTCGCAAGAGCTCGCGCGTAAGCTTTTTTTATCAAATCAGTGTTACGAAACCTTATGTTTTTGTATGCTTTTTGGAAACTCGATTGCGAAATCCTGTCGGCACCGAAGGTTTTTAAAGGATTTCGGCATGCGCGCGCGACGACGCGCGCGTGTGCACTTCGTCCCATTTGTTGCAAGGGATTCGTGAAAAAGTGCTATGTTAGAACCAAAAAAGTCACCGCATAGTGTTTTTTTACAAGGGACCCTCAGGGGGGGGATACTGGTTGGCCTAGGAAATTGCGATTTCATACTTAGGATGGACATGTGGTCAGAATCATATGTGATTTACATAACCGAAAGGGGGGGCGATAACGCCGGGGAGGGTAGAGTAGATTCACTTCGTAATAATCCCACCAGCCCTCTGGGCGTAGGTGGTCTAGAGCAGATCCTCTTCCACCCCTCCCTCTTCCCCCTTGGGGAGGGGTTTACCCCTCCCCCTACCCCCTCCCCTGGACCTGGACGGGGGGGGCCGCTGGTAGTTAGAGCGTCCCAGATGGCCCAAGACGGCTCCAAGAGCGCCTCAGAGAACCCAAGATGAGCTCCAAGATGGCTCAAGATAGCGCAAGATCGCTCGAGATGGCTCCTAAGATGGTTCCAAGAAGCCCAAAGACGGCCCCAAGATAACTCCAAGTGGCCAAACAGCTCCCCAAGGAGGCCCCGAAGAGGCCAAAATCGTCCCAAAACCTAAGGAAAATCAATGATTTTTGCTTTCTCGCCTTTTCGCTTCCGATGGCCATCCGAGGCCTGGAGATGGTTCCAAGATGGCCCAAGAGGGCCCCAAGAGAGCCCCAAAAGAGCCCCAAGACGGCCCCAAGAGCGCCCAAGAGCACTCCAAGAGCGTTCCAAGAGGGGTCCAAGAGGCGATTTTAGGGGCTTCCGAGGGGGGGCGCTAATTCACCCCCCCCTCTTGTTTGATCGACTCCCTCCAAGATGGCCCCAAGAAGCGCCCAGGAAGCCCCAAGAGGTCCCAAGATGGCCCCAAAATGGCCCCAAGAGGCCCCCAAGAGGCCCCCCGGAGGCCCCCAAGAGACCCCCAAGAGGCCCCAAGAGCCCCCCCAGATGCACCCAAGATGCTCCAAGAGGCCTCGGCGAGAATGCCTAATCATTGATTCTACACAGGTTTTAGCCACATGGAGGCCTCTTGGGGGGGGGCACGGATTAAGATGACTCCAAGAGCGTCTGGGAGAGCCCAAAATGACCTCCAAGATGGCTCAAGATATCCCAAGATGTCTCATAATGGCTTCCTCTGTGTGCTGCCCACTTCTCTGATCGAGGCAATTCCTCTGGGCATCGTTTCTGGATGGGCTGGTGGGGATTCGCGAAGCGACAACAATTTTTACCCATGATGTGACACATCTCATGCTCTTGCAAACATCCCACCCACCCACCCGCAACTTGGTTTGCAAAACCTCTTAAGACCGTGACGGTAGGTTCCACATGGCACTTGGCAACGACACCGGCGCCGACGACGACGACGACAACGCCGACGACGACTACGACGACACCGACGACGTCTCCGACGACTTCGACGACGACGACAACGACGACGACGACACCGACGACGACGACGACGACGACGACGCCGACGCCGACGACGACGACAACGACGACGACGATGACAAAGCCGACGACGGCGACGACGACGCCGACGACGACGACGACGTCGACGACGCCGACGACGACGACGTCGACGACGACGACGACGACGGCGGCGACGACGACGACGCCGACGTCGACGACGACGACGACGACGCCGAGGCCGACGCCGACGCCGACGCCGACGACGACGTCGCCAACGAAGACGACGACGACGACGAGCGAGGAGGGAGCACGGCGACGGCGACAACGACGACAACGACGAGGGAGGAGGGAGGACGACGCGAACGACGAAGAAGGAGGAAGGACGGCGACGCCGACGACGACAACGAGGGAGGAGGGAAGACGACGACAACGACGACGACGACGACGACGACGACGACGACGACGACGGCGACGAAATAGGAGGGACGACGACGAGACGCCGACGACGGACGACGACGAGGACGACGACGAGGGAGGAGGAGGAAGGACGACCACGGCGACAACGACGACGGAAACGACCACGACGCCAAAGAGGACGACGACGACGAACACGAGGAAAGACACAGGACGACGTAGGCGACGACGACGACGACGACGCGGGAGGAGGGAGGACGGCGACGACGACGACGACGACGACGCCGCAAGAGCGCGCGCGCGCACACTTTTGTTGAAAATCCGTGTTGCGAAACCTTGTGGTTTTGTATGTTTTTTGGAGGCGCGATTTTGAAATCCTTCCGAAACCGGTGGGTTTTGAAGGATTTCGGCGTACGCGCGCGACGACGCGCGCGTCTGCACTTCGTCCCATTTGTTGCAGAGGATTCTCGCGACGGCACACGCGCAAGGGCGTTCGACAGATTTCGATATGCGCGCGCGACGCCCGTTTGGTAGCATGTTGTGAAAATCTTGAAAAACCAACGGCTTGGTTTTCTTAAGATTTCGCAAGAGCTCGCGCGCAAGCTTTTTTAATCAAATCAGTGTTACGAAACCCTGTGTTTTTGTATGTTTTTTGGAAACTCGATTGCGAAACCCTTCCGGCACCGAAGGTTTTTAAAGGATTTCGGCATGCGCGCGCGACGACGCGCGCGTGTGCACTTCGTCCCATTTGTTGCAAGGAATTCGCGAAAAAGTGTTATGTTAGAACCAAGAAATGTCACCGCATAGTGTTTTTACAAGGGAACCTCAGGGGGGGGGATACCGGTTGGCCTGGGACATTGCGATTTCATACTTAAGATGGACATGTAGTCAGAATCATATGTGATTTACATACCCCAAAGGGGGGGCGATAACTCCGGGGGGGGTAGATCCTATTCTGCTTTTAGAAAAAAGAATAAAGGAGAATGTACGTGTTGCAATCTAGGTTGTGCAATCTATGTTGTGACATATGTGTGGTGGAATGGTGGAATCTCAATTGTGCAATATCCGTGGTGCAATATATGTTATGCGGTCTACGCGGAGCAATCTATGCTGCGCAATCCATGCTGCGCAATCTATGTGGTGCAATCGACGTGATTCAATTAGCTTTGAAAAACTTGGAGATGACAACTCAACTGCTCGCGCAATCATCCCGCCCTCCACCCCGCACCTTGGTTTACAAAACCCATGCGGCGGCGATTGTGATGGACGCTTGGCGCTCACTGGCGCATCTCCGCGACCGCTATAGGAAACGCCTCATGTTGCACTGCTTTGCTTGCTGGGGGCGACGAGGCGGCGACGCGGCGTCGAACGCGAACAAAGAGCCGCTGGACCGACAATCAGGCCCAGACGACAGGCGGCGACGAGGCGGCGACGAGGCGGCGACGGGGCAGCGACGGCGAGCACGGAGCCGCCAGACAGACACCCAGGGCTGGTTCCTCAGAAGAGAAGTCAGAACCCCTGAGTGAAAGCACTCTTTGGGGAACCTTGGCATCCACTGCTGAACCCTCCTATCCCCTTAGCAACCCCCCTCGCCGATCCCAGCGGACGCGAGCAGGGCCGCAAGAGGTGGTCCTAGGAGGGCCAGCGACGATGTGATTTCTCAAGGATCTCCGACGATGTGGTGTTTCCGTCCCAAACCTCCGACCACAGTGCCTCACGGCTGGATTCGCCTCGAAATTCTGGTCAGAACGCACCCTGGGGCGACTGCACAAGATGGACTGAGGGGCAACGATAGGTGGGGACCAGCTCAGGGGGAGGAGGGGGGGAAACGTCGACCTGGAATTGGCGACGCATCGCCGACAGATCGGCGACAGGCCCCCGACAACGACTCCGCACGGTCCTGGGCGGGGTGGGCAGTCGGGCCCTGCCGGCGATGAGAGGGCGAGTGCGGGTCGATGCATCCCCCCCCTGAGCCTGCACCTATCCCCGATGATTTTCGGGCCATAACTCAGGCCTCCGGCGGCCGCTCGAGACGATCTGGGCATCCCTGGAACGCTCTCGGCGAGGCGCAACTGCTGGAGAGCATCCTGGAACTGGAAAGCCGCCCAGAACAAACGAAAACACTTGAAAACCTCCAACCTCGAGATGCCTCTGGTCAGGAACTTTTGTTTAGCGTGTGGCGGCGTACGCTATGCCTTACAAGCGCATATCTTGCCGCTCCCTGAGAATATCCCCCCTTTCCTCCCTGAACCTATCAACCCCTAGTGTTGCCCGTCATGGATGCCAGGATCTCAAAGTCTTGCCGCGGCGGCGGCGGCGGCGACAAAAACGACGACGACGACGACGACGACGACGATCACCACGACGATCACCAGGACGACGGCAACGACGACGACGACGACGACGACGACGACGACGACGGCGACGACGACGACGAAGACGACGACGACGGCGACGGCGGCGACGACGACGACGACGACGACGACGACGACGACGGCGACGACGACGGCGGCCCCGCCATCGTTGCATCCTCCGCAGCAGCCTGGCCGCAGGCGGCCGGCTCGCTGGCCTCCTCCGCGGCAGCGCCCGGGAGGCCCGCGGCGCCCGGGGGCCCCGCCCGCGCGGCCGCGGCGGCGGTGCTCGCGGCCGCCATGTCGTCCGGTGCCTGCCAAGGGGCTCGTCGTCGTCGTCGTCGCCGCGGGGATCGTCGTCGTCGTCGTCAGTCGTCAGTCGTCAGTCGTCAGTCGTCAGTCGTCAGTCGTCGTCGGTGGTCGTCGTCGGTGGTCGTCGTCGTCGTCGTCGGTGGTCGTCGGTGGTCGTCGTCGTCGTCGTCGGGGGCTCGGGGTGCTGCTAGGATCGGCGCGCGAGTTGTTGAGAACACAAAGGGACACTTCGAGTCCTCCTCCCGAAGCCGACCTCAGAGACCGCCAGCAGGCCCCCGAGAGGCCCCGTAGAGACCCGAATCATACCCCAAGAGACCCAAAACCGACTCCACGAAGGGAAGCGCGCGGACGATATCGGATGTTTTCTGACGGCGGAGATGCTTGCGTCGCAAGCGCCGGGAAACGTCAGAGGTCCACAGGAAGTCTCGGGCGAATTCGTTCGTCACGTCGGCTCTCAGGGTCTCGCCAGCGTGAAGCCCGCGCCCTGGATTCATCCAGGCTCAAAAAAAACTGTATATTCGGGGCGCGTGTCTGGATCGGTGGATGTGGATGAGCCCGTGGCGTGAGCAGACGTACAAGAGGGACAACTGGAGCGGTTGTGAGGCTCCTCTTGCTTCTCCTCCTCGGTGTTGGCGCGCAGGCTCATCGTTCCCATGAAATCTCCTCTTCGCTCTCGTGAAGTTCCATGCTGACCTCGCGCATTCGTCGCCCAGCAGGTCTCAAACCGGGCAGCCCCACAGAGAAGAGTGCGTTCGGGCCGAAAGCTCACTCGAGGTGCATCCAGCCGAGGCCACGAGAGCGCCGCAGGACCGCCAAAGGCCTCCAGAGAGCGATCCTGGAACATCGAATCCCCTGTCGGCGCTCCTGATCTTGCCCACGACAGATTCCCCCCCCCCCCCCCTCACAGCGCAACGAGCACGATGACTTCCCCCTAGAGCACCGCACGTGACGCCAGCACGGCTGCGTCGATGCGCGACAAGGCGGCGCGCCCAAGGGGGGAGAGCAGAGGGCGCAGGCCTCCCCAGGAGGACCAGGAAGCCTCCGACCGTCTGAGAAGCTGCCTCTGGGCCTTCTCCGAGGGCACAGGCGGCTTCTCACAAGGCACGGGGGGGGGCTTCTGCGAAGGCCCGCCTCCTCCTCCTCCTCCTCCTCCTCCTCCTCCTCCTCTTCCTCCTCCTCCTCCTCCTCCTCCTCCTCCTCCTCCTCCTCCTCCTCCTCCTCCTCCTCCTCCTCCTCCTCCTCCTCCTCCTCCTCCTCCTCCTCCTCCTCCTCCTCCTCCTCCTCCTCCTCCTCCTCCTCCTCCTCCTCCTCCTCCTCCTCCTCCTCCCCTCCTCCTCCTCCTCCTCCTCCTCCTCCTCCTCCTCCTCCTCCTCCTCCTCCTCCTCCTCCTCCTCCTCCTCCTCCGCCTCCTCCTCCTCCTCCTCCTCCTCCTCCTCGAGGTCCGACCACGGCTCCCATGGGGCAGCGGTTTTGACCAGGACTGCACGACGCGTGGAGGTCCTGGCCCAGCATGGAGGCGTTTTGGACGCGCGCTGCACCACGCGCAGAGAAACTGCTCCGAAATGGCCTGGGTCCACCGCAGGGGATTCACGATCCATTACCTCGAGGCAGAAGACGTGTGCGCGTGTGTCCGTTGCGTTGTGTTGTGCTGTGTTGTGTTGTGGTGCGGTCTGGTGTGGTCTGCTGTGTTGTGTTCTGTCGGGTTGGGTTGGGTTGGGTTGGGTTGCGTTGCGTTGTGTTGTGTTGTGTTGTGTTGTGTTGTGCTGTGTTGTGTTGTGTTGTGTTGTGTTGTGTTGTGTTGTGTTTGGCTGTGTTTGGTTGTGTTGTGTTGCGTTGTGTTGCGCTGCGCTGCGTTGTACTGTGTTGGTGTGTTGTTTGTTGTGTTGCGTTGTGTTGCGTTGTGTTGCGTTGCGTTGTGCTGTGGTGTGATATGGTGTGGTCCGTGGTGCTGCGTTGCCATGTGATTTGTTGTGTTGCGCTGTGATATGCTACTGTCTTGTGGTGTGTGTTGTATTATTGTGTTGCGTTGCGTTGTGATGTGATGTGCGTGTTATGATGTGCTGTGTTGTGATGTGTTGTGCTGTGTTGCGTTGCGTTGTGTTATGCTGCGAGGTGTGGTGCCTTGCTGTGTTGTGCTGTGGTGTGTTGTTTGTTGTGTGATGTGTTGTGTTGTGTTACGTTACCTTGCGTTGTGTTGCGCTGCGCTGTGATGCGCTGTGCTGCGCTGTGCTGTGCTGTGCTGTGCTGTTGTGTGCGGCGTTGTGTCGTGTTGCGTTGTGTTGCGTTGCGTTGCGTGGTTTTGTGCTGCGCTGCGTTGCATTGTGCTGTGTTGCGTTGTCGTGTGGTGTGATGTGGTGTGGTGTGTTGCACTGTGATGCGTTGTATTGTGTTGTGCTGTGCTGTGCTGCGCTGTGCTGAGTTATGGCGTGGTGCATTGTGTTGTGTTGTGTTGCGTCGTGTTGTGTAGTGTGGTATTGTGCCGCGTTGCGTTGTGTTGCGTTGCGTTGCGTTGTCTTTGCTTGCATGTGCGCATCAAACGTCCGCGAGCAAGCAGGTGCTTGGCGAGTCGTGGAACGCGCTCGGCGCGGCCCATGGTGAGGGCGTTGTTTGACGACACGTGCGTAAAGCAAGAAGAATTCAGAGAGAGAGAGAGGAAGAGGAGAGGGAGAGAGAGAGAGAAAACAAAAAAGAGAGAAAGAGAGAGAGAGAGGGGAGAGAATACATGCATGCGGGCGTGCCCCGCAGTGTCCCATCACAGCCGCTGTGGGCGGCGAAGACAGAGCTGCAGCAGCAGCCCAGGGCCCTGCCGGCGCCGACAGCGCCGGGGCCCCCGAGGGCCGAGCAGCAGCACACCGCCGCCCGGCCATAGCAGCTCACCCGAGGCTGGCCGAAGATCGACCAGCCTGCACAAAACCTCCTCCTCCTCCTCCTCCGTCTCCTCCTCCTCCTCCTCCTCCCTCCTCCTCCTCCTCCTCCTCCTCCTCCTCCTCCTCCTCCTCCTCCTCCTCCTCCTCCTCCTCCTCCTCCTCCTCCTCCTCCTCCTCCCCCCCTGCAGCTCGGCGTCGATGACCGCGCCCTCGAGGTGATCCCGCAGGCGCTTCTCGTTTCTGCTCCTGCACCCAGGGAGGGCCAGGCCGCTGGCCCTCTGGGAACACCTGCCCCGCCTCCCCGCCGTGGTGCCACCCAGGCCTGTGGAGGTCCCGCTGCAGCACCATGGATTTGCGCTCCTTCTTCCTCATCCGCTTCTCGTAATTGCGAGCCGCCTTGGCTGCAGCTTGCACTGCAACCAGACCCGCGTCGTCGTCCGTGGGGACCTCCTGCTCGTCCAAAGCGACGCTCACGAACTCCAGGGTGGAGTCTGCGCCGCCTTCTGCTGCAGCGCCTGCTGCTGCTTCTTCCGAGCCCTGCATTGGCGCCAGCGCCTCTTCTGGAGGGCCCCCGCCGATGGATGGTGTCGGAGCCGCCTGCGTCACTGCCTGCCTCCACGGACACACACACACACACACACACACGGGCGGCGGCGGCGGGGACAGAGAGGACGAGCGCACAGGCACCAGCCCCAGCGCCTGTGCTATCTGCGCCTGCCGCTGGCTGATGCGACCCCGCCTGCGGTACAGGCGGAGCTGCTCCCGCGATAGCACCTCCTGTGCCAGCCCGCCAGCCTGCTGAGCCGGCTGCTGCGGTGGCCTCGGCTTGGCGCACTCTTCTGCCGTACCATCTGCTCCTCCCTTGCCATACGCGCCTGCTCCAGTAGCGATGGCAAAGGGGGCGGTGGCAACTGGTACTGCGCCAATTTCGCCACACGGGCCTTCGGCCCCATAGCATAGTACTTCGCCTTGAGCTCCGCGTGGGCATCCTCCGAGGGGCGGGAAGACCTCACCGAAGGGCACCTCGATCTGCCCCTTATCGATGCCTTGAGCTCCGAGCGGGCATCCACCGAGGAACGGGAGGGCCTCTCCAAGGGGCTCCTCGATCTGCTCCTTGCCGATGCCCGATGTGACCATTTCCGTGCAATCACATGTGCCGCCTGCATTCGCACTGCACTAGCACCTGCACCTCCTGCAGCTCGAGGCCGCAGAGGGCTTCAGCAGCAGCACAGAGAGCCGCCGCAACCACCACGATCTGCATGCGAATGGCTCCCACGCGCGAAGCCGCTCTGAACCGACGCGCGTGGATGACTCAAGCAACCGCCTGAGCCCAGAATGGCTCGAGCCAGAATGGCTTGGGCCAGAATGACTACGGATGGTGAGGACATTGGATGAGGAACCCTTGGACGAGGAATCCAGGATCTGGAAGCCGGTGGAACTCCAATTCGTGAGGAGGAGAGGAGGAGGAGGAGGAGGAGGAGGAGGAGGAGGAGGAGGAGGGAGGAGGGAGGAGGAGGAGGAGGAGGAGGAGGAGGAGGAGGAGGAGGAGGAGGAGGAGGAGTCCTCCAGGGCCTGAGGCCTCCCAGGCACACTCCGTAACCAACGCCCCCACATGGCACCCGTCCTGGCGCAGCGACGAGGCCCCCCGAAGCTGCAACACGACGCGTGCATCCCCGCGACGCGGGGGCGGTCCGGCCGCGGGGCGCCTTCGGGCTGGGGCGGTGCGCCGTGGGCGCCGCGGGCACGCGGCCGCGGGCACGCGACCGTGCCGCCGAGGTGGCCGCTGCTCGCTGGAGCGGCGGGCGGCGAGCGTCACTGCGTCCGTTTGTTCGTTGCTGTTGATTGGCCCGCTTGCTCGTGCGCAGCTGCATGCCCCTCCCCGGCACTCTCGCGTCGGCCTGCACGGCCTGATCGGGCTCCGTCTTGGTCTCTTCTTGCGTCTCTTGCTCTTCCGCTTCGTGTGTGGGTCAGCTTCCGGTGCAGCCCACCGCTCGCTTTGAGCGGCCCATGACCGTCTCGCACACCCTAACGCCCACGGACTCAAACAGATTATTATTTTGTTGGGTGCTTCGCTTCTCTGCTCGTTAGTGTGAATACAGCGTGTTCTCGCAGGTTGCGTCTATGCACATGTCTATGTGCATACAGATGCGAGATAGACGGGCATGTGCGTTGACATGGTGCGTCTACATGCGTAAATATACATATATTTGCGTGTGAACGTGCATACGTGTGTACACCAGCGATGCTCATCTGCATGCGCACTTATAGGTGTGACCATGTGCATATGCATATGCATATGCAAATAGATGTGTATATATATATATTTATATATATATATATATATAATATATATATATATATATATATGTGTGTGTGTGTGTGTCTACGCACATTTGGGTTCGCCGCCGTGCGTCGAGGCACGAAATGGAGTGCCATCACGTGCTGGGTAGCCCTCCTTCCCCAGGGCTGCGTACTGTAAGCGCTCTACGGAGGGCCCCCGGGGCCCAAGTCTCCCGGGGTTTGCTGCGCGCCTCCCGGGTCGCCCCGGATGCTTCCTTGGGCTGGTCGCCGGACTTTTTCAAAAACCAGAGAGCCGCCAAGGGCCGCCCAAAGACTGTCCAAGAGGGCGCCGCGACGGCCCAAATTCGCTCAGAGACAAGCCCAAGACGTAAGTCGGGCCTGTCCCCCTACAGGGGGATTTTCGACGAAAAATAAAAAAAAAAAAAAAATGAAAAAAAAAAAAAAAAAAAAAAAAAAAAAAAAAAAAAAAAAAAAAAAAAAAAAGTCTGGGGACTATTTTGTTGGGTATTTTTTTACCGTCTTGGGGTTATTTTTAGAATATTTTGAATTTTTCGTCGAAAATTCCCCCTGTAGGGGGACACGCCCGACATAACCCAAGACGGACCCAAGGCGTCCCAAAACACCCGCAAGACACCCCAAGAGCGCTCCAGGAGGATCCCCAAGATGGCCCCAGGAAGCGAACATCTTTGATTCCCCCATACATCTTGAAAAAATGTCATTCTCCCTTTTCCGGGTTTCGGACGAAACATCTCAATGCGGCGCAGGCGGTGCTACGGGGGCCAACACAATGCTGCGCGCGATCGGCGGAACCGAAGTGGGTAAACAGGGCGAACACACGTTCTGAGGATCATCGACAAAGCGTCTCAAACAACATGGTCTAAACCCCACTGGGATCTCCCTACCCCTTCCCCCCGGTCTAACTTGCCGTGTCCCCCGCCCCTTCCGCCCGATGCAAAGGAACGGAGCGAGGAGGTGGACGCAGGTGACCTCCAGAGGCAGGTAAGCGGTGCGGCGCGTGACGGCGTGGTGCGTTACGACAGTGTAGGCGAGACTGGTCTGTGACTCCGCCTGCGCATCGTCACGGGGAGTCGCTCTCTGGAGCCAACGCCCGCATCTGAAACGGACTGCCGCAGAAACAAGGGTCCAGAACGCACCGTCTGGCACGCCCGAAATGGTCACGGGGAAACAATTGGCACGGTGCCGAACAGCAGATGAGCGAAGAAGCGAAGCGGGTGTTGCGCGAAAAGACATGGCGACCTTACGCCGCGGCTCGCGCGGGCCGCCAACGTCACCGCGTAGAGAAGAGAGCCTTTACGGGCGACCTTACGCGGGAAGCTTACGCGCGAATGTCGGCGTAATCGGCCCCGATATGTTCTGTCGCTCAGATGTTGCCCCAAACTGACAGCGGCTCCTGTTGGCCACGCGACCTGCGTTCCAAATTGGCAACGTCCGCGGCGACTGGGACAGCGAAACCGGCACAAAACGAGCCATAAATCAGTGCTGGACATCGTACCCATCATTTCCGTGGCCATTTCGGCCCGCCCGACCCGTTAACCAGGGGGGAGGTGGCGAATCAGTATACGGCCCTATTCTGGATCAGCATCCGGCGCTACTACTCCGTCCAATTCATTATACGCCAGCCCGTATTCCAGATCTGTATACAACAACTTCCGGATCAGTATACAAGAATTTCCGGATCAGTATATAACAGTTTCTGGAACAACCTACAGCATTTTCTGGATCAATCTACAACCTTTTCTGGGCTAGTATACAGTATGTGCCAAAACAGTATACAACACAATCCGGATCAGTTTATGTCACGGCAATTCGTTCCTTGTTGGTCCGATCACTTCGGTAGAACACTATGAGATTAGATCGCAGAATTGCTGATACATATTGAATCCCAGGCTGTCTGAGCACTACCCCAAACAAGATACAAACGTTTCTTAGACAGTCCCGCGCGTCTCTCAAGCTAATCAGGCAAGAAATTCTGGGCACCCCACACGGAAGAAGCAAAAGTGCAACCGCGAGGAACAGAATTCCAGGAGAGCTCTGTGAGAGCTAAGTGGGTGTCAAATGAGAAGCCGGCAACACAGGGTAGCCCCCGAGCTCTTTCTGGCGCTGGTCATGCAGCGTGGCAGCGGCTCCTGTGACCCTCCAGCGTGCTCGGGAAGCGTTTTCCTACTCGTTCCAAAAACCTTTGCCAGAAGCCTTTCCGCAATTCCTTCGAAGCTCTTCCTGAGCTCCCGCGAACCGCGAGAAATTTGGTCCAAAATCCTGTTTCGAACCGTACTGGCCTCGAGTGCCCCACACGGGAGAAAAGACGCAATTGCGAGAAATGGAATGAACAAACTATTTCGAACCGTGCGGCCCGCGAGTACCGCAAGCGGAGGGAGCAAAAGCGCAAACGCGGGCTGTGCTTCGAATCGCGCCGGCCCCGAATACTCCACACAGAAGAAACAAACGCTCAACCGCGAGAAATTGAACGAAACATTCTGCTTCGAACTGGACTGGCCCCGAGTACGGGAGAAGCAAGAAAACGCCCGCGAGATATCTAATCAAAAATACAGTTTCGAACCGAATCGGCCCCGAACGCCCCAGACAGAAGGGGCAAAGGCGCATCCGCGAGGAATTGAATCGAAAACTATGTGTCGAGCGGCCCCGAGTGTCCCAGACACAAGAATACTAAGGGTCAAAAATTATGCTTCGAACCGTGCTGGTCTCGTGAGACCCCACGGAAAAACGCAGAGGAGCTGCCGCGATGCAATGCACTCAACTTTTGCCTCGAACCGTACTGGCCCCGAGCGCCCCCCACGACGGGAACAAAAGCGCGACCGCGAGAGATCGAGTAATACATCTGTGAAGGGGCCCTGGGACACACAAATAAATACACACAAATAACAGGATTCCCCATATTTTTCCATATTTCTGGGTTTTTGTCTTCCCCCCCACTTCCCATATTTTCTCATTATCCTGGGAATCGACGATCCATTGTGTCTGTGTTTTTTCCCTCCTGAAATACATATGTTTCGAGACGTGCTGGCCCCGAGCACTCCACACGGGAAGGATGATCGCATAGGTTCTCGCTCGTAACGTTGCAGAGGCATTCGTGCAAAGCTGTAAAGCCATGATTGGCGCAGGTGCGGGATGGCAGAAACTCGGCGGAAGGAATGCGGAAGCAATACGTCAATATGAACTATGGTGGCGGAAGCTTGCGGAAGGTTGGCGGAAAGCCGCGAAAGTAAAATATCATGTTCGAAAATCGTCTGTTATCTGGCGTATACAAAAACGGGTCCATTGTTTCTTGTGCGAAACGGCTGAAAAATCCAATGCCGATAATGAAACGGACACGGGAGTCTTGCCTTATGATGGATCCAGCTCCGTGCACGAAGCGCGGAAGAAAACGCCCGTTCCGAAGAAACAAACGAAATACGCTGCCAGTAACATGAATCACGGATTCATATATACACCCGTGTTCAGGATCAATATACACCGAGGTTCTACACGGGCCCAACTCTGGATCAACGTGCACCCGTATTCTGCATCAATATTTACACGCTTTCTGGATCAAAGACCGAACACGGCTTACGCAAATACTGTTCCAAAATGGAGCCAAATACCGATCCAGAATGATGACAAATACTGATTCGCATGCTTCCTCGTCGACCAGTCTCACTATCAACTGGCTGAATGTTACGTGTTTTGCGTCCCCGTCCTCTCCCACCTCCTCCTCCTCCTCCTCCTCCTCCTCCTCCTCCTCCCCCTGAGCTACTTGGTCCAACTGGTTGCGGTGCCGACAGTATCATGAGGCATGTTGGCGAGGAGTTAGTCGCAAC